CCTCTTTGAAACATCAACTTAAACGGTACCCCTTTTGAAACATCAACTTAACCGGTTCCCTTTTTTAAACATCAACTTAAACGGTACGCTCTTTGAAACATCAACTTAAACGGTATCCTCTTTGAAACATCGACTTAAACGGTACGCTCTTTGAAACATCAACTTAAACGGTACCCTCTTTGAAACAACAACTTAAATGGTATCCTCTTTGAAACATCAACTTAAACTGTACCCTCTTTGAAACATCAACTTAAACGGTACGCTCTTAGAAACATCAACTTAAAATGAACGCTCTTTGAAACACAAACTTAAACGGTACGCTCTTTGAAACATCAACTTAAACGGTACCCTCTTTGAAATATCAACTTAAACGGTACGCTCTTTGGAACACCAACTTAAACGGTACCCTCTTTGAAACATCAACTTAAACGGTACCCTCTTTGAAACATCAACTTAAATTGTACCCTCTTTGAAACATCAACTTAAACGGTACGCTTAAGAAACATCTTTGAAACATCAACTTAAATCTTTCTTGTTGGGTGAATCACACTTAGGATATGTGGCCTGCTTTTTAAATTTGTCTTTTGACGTCATATCTGTGATATGCAGGCTTCATAACCTCAGATCCCCTTTCAAAATTCCATTTTATTTAGTTCCGCCCATTGTTTTCTCGTTTAGTGCACATGCATTTTTTACTTGGGGACCATATGCCGCTTTTCATGGAATGGTACTAACGTGTCACATTGAAGATTCCATGATAATCGCCATATGAACACATCTGCGGATGTTTCAAAATTCTAAATTTTACCAGTTCATGTTAAATGTTGAATTCTTCTTAAGCCGGTGCTAGGGGGCGTGGACGGTAGTTTGCACTTGACAGTACGCTCAATCAAACCGAGCCTGCAACATTTTCAATTTTGCTGTGTTGGATTCTTATTTCTCTCTATTTAAACGGTACGCTCTTTGAAACATCAACTTAAACGGTACGCTCCTTGAAACATCAACTTAAACGGTACCCTCCTTGAAACATCAACTTAAACGGTACCCTTAAAACATCAACTTAAACGGTACCCTCCTTGAAACATCAACTTAAACGGTACCCTCCTTGAAACATCAACTTAAACGGTACCCTCCTTCAAACATCAACTTAAACGGTACGCTCTTTTCACATACATAGGTCAGTCTCTGCTGAAGAGACAGCAATGCAGCGAATGTTCAATCTACTAATAAAATGTGGTATGTCTTGTAAAGAAGAAGAAGATTTCGCCAGGAGGGAACCGATATGGATAGGCACCGCGATATCGGTTACCCTAAAAGATCGTGAAAATATTCCATTTTTCTCAACATTTAATAGTGTGTTGTTGTTGTTGTTTGTTTGTTTTCGTTTTTTTAAGCAGCACGCCTCCAGATTCATGTTAATTTTCATAAAAATTTTAGAAATGTATTTGAAAGTAAAATATTGTCATTGGACAAAAATAGTAATTTACATAATGCAATTGGCACTTACAATCCAAGAAAATTACCAAAAAGTGGTCAACATATGCAAAAACGGCCCTTACTGCGTTAGTAACGCAGTAGAAATATGGTGATAAAATACTGCTAAATCAGTCTTAAACCGTGCATAACATGTAAAACATAACTTGGATCTTGAATGTTTTAACTTTTCTCAAAAGTTTAGTACATTTTTCTCAATATTGATTTTCTTTAAATATTTTGGCTCATCTGGAGGCGTGCAGCTTTAAAGCTAAATCCCTATTCATTTTGCAGTTTAACTGAAGAAAAAAATATAAGTACCTGTAAAGACCTACATTTGTACTTTGAAAAATGAACTTTTTGTTAATCATAATGCATTACTGAGGTCTAAAAACATAATGTTATAAATTCTTTAATGAATAAATTGAGTGACTAAAAATGTAAAAATATGCAAAAGATAATGAAGAAATATTGAAAATAAAGTTTTTGTGTGTGTGCAATTTTGACCTGATTTGAGTTACATTAAAAAGATGAAAGGTATTTCATTTCAAAGTCCTTTTTTGTTTGTTTGTTTTTTTTTGTTTTTGTTTGTTTTTCTTTTTTTTAAGGGCGGGGGGATCAAACTAAAATATTAAGGATAAAACTCACACGCCACATTCACAGTAAGTCAGTAACTATTAACTTATAACTAATAAGTATTGCCTGTAGTCAGTTTTATCTTCTTGGTCAATCGTTCTTGTATAGCTCAATTACACAAATATTTGCAAGTCAAAAATGTTTTAAACAATGTTCAATACCACGCAATATTTTCTTAACGACACAAATCGCACCTTATGCCTCAGAAAAAAAACACATTTTTTCTTCTTTCGAAAGGCGACAGAAAATTTTTTTCTTAAAAAAATGTTAGAAATGTTAGATGCTTTTACCCGCAAAAATATGATCAAAGTGAAAAAAATTAAATAAAAAGTAAAAAAAAATTAAAAATTCCTCGCGTACTTATTGCCCAGGCCGAAATAGATGGTTCGAAACTTTTTGGATTTTCAAAAAACCACATAAAAAAATAATTATGAGAATTAAAAGTTTTGGGGGTTCCTTTTAAAAAAAAATCGAATGTTGGTTAGATTTTTGTAATGCAATATCATCCTCATCAAGATTTTCCTAGACTGTTTAGATCATTTGTCAACTAGATCAGTGAGTGGGACACATCATCTAGATGTAGACAAATGTAGGTGTTTAACATGCTAAGTGAACAGTAACCTTTCCTACTTCCTTTTAGATGCTATCTTTCAAAAAGCAATTATCTCTTACTTAAGTTTGTAAAATCGCTTTTCCTGATGCTATTAAATATAATCATTATATACATCTAAAAAGGGTACCCTAATAAAAAACGTTTGGTTTATTAATATGCCTTATTATTTTTTACTTATCTTAAAGTGACTCCGCTGAGGTTTTTTGACATGACATGACCGTACTGGATTTTTTTTTCTATATTAATGTTCTATTTGATGTGGGTCTAGACTAATGTCTTTTGTTCAAAATTTCAGATCGTTTGCTCACAATAATTTTTCTACTTGTGAAAAATGACCCAAAATTGAATAGCTATGCAATGCTTTTCCCTTTAATCGGGCACATAACAGCACAAAATACGATTTTCAATTTATTTGAGTATATTTCTGATCTATGTAAGAAATTCAAATTTTAGGATTGGAGTTCCTTTAAATACCTAGTTTTTCGTCTAATATGTACCCCTCTCAATTCAGTGACTTGGGATTCTCCCTTAGAAAGATGTGGAAAGGACAGGGAGATGGGTGTTTTGGAGTATGCTGCAGATTATTGTCACCAAACGTATGGAGAATTAATGCAGTGTCTTAATCTATTATTTGTTCTAAATTGTTAAAGTTCAACGAACGAATCGATATTGTCACGTTAGGAATAGAGATTTCCTCTGTAGTCAACGAAATGTGTAAAAATACATGCATATATTTATTTTCTCCCAATTAGATAAATTCAAACTAATAAATCGAAATATAGATTTAATGTTTTTTCACTGCAGACACCGGTCATTACTTCATTTTTTCATGCCTAGAGATAAGCAAACCGTATATGAATAAATCAGCAGTTTTTTTCCTTTTCCTTTTTCCCACTAATGGATTCTGAACTAACAAATTTATTAACTAATATGAAAAACAGCATTAACTTCTATGATTTACTACGGCTTTAATCACATTATTAATTAAAGTCGTTGTTTTACATATGAATGTTATTTTTGTTGTATTCAGAAGTAATTCATTGAAGAAGCGCAAATTTGTAAATCGCATTTATCTCCCTTTAAATACGACTCTGCCATTAAAAATATTAAAGTCAGTCAGAATATATTACATAAGGGTTAACATTAAATGCATTAGAAAACACTGATGAAAAGGGGACGAATATTTAAGAAATAAATGGGCCCTGGTCAAATCTGGCTCATATAGTTCACAGGCTTATATTTGTGACTTTAAGAAAAATATATATATGGTAATATGTTGATCTTGTGTTTTGTTTTCGATAAGATCAGGATACTTACAGTATGCAAATTCCTATCTAAAATATTAAAGACTCATAATTTATGTTGGTCTTGTGTTTCGTTTTGACAAGATCAGGATATGACTAGAATGTAAGGACTCATATATCTAACACACATAGTTATTTTGTGACAAGGAAGAGCAGGGGTAGTTTTTAGAATACACCACATACATAATTTTGTAAACATTTAGATATTATTAGAAATGGATTATTAATATACTAAGAAATTTCAACATGCAATTGAATGTAAACCTTCTTCGTTGTTGTTTTAAACTTGTTTGAAATTTATTTTTCTACACTGTCTTGCCATATATATATTGTATTGTGTATCCTCACGGGCCATGTGGCCTTATGGAATTTGAAAAAATAAAACTTATTAAACTTAAACTTATATATTGTAAAAAAACAACAACATCAATAACAAAAAAACCTGAATCAGCTCTGTAAAATATTTTAATGGTTTACTTGCGTCTTCGTACATATTTTCTTATGTTTCGAGAATTTATTTCCATGTCATTCAAGAACGCAGGAAAAGACGATATGTTTATTATTTGTCCAATTAAGAATTAGGACTAATATATAATATAATTTAAGATGATGTTATGTTTTAGCATGTACCATGTACAGTATTTGATCTCTTTAGGAATGTGTTATAGTATGTCAATTAACCATACCGTTACGGATGACTAATCATATTTCGGTAGTCAGAGCGGTACTACTTTTATGTGTAGGTAAAGTCACGTGAAAAGAGCATTTGATCAGTTGGTGAACATTGGCTTTTTCTTAAGTTGAATTATCACTATAATATACAATATAAAATTGTGATGAATGAAAGGATGTAATCAAAAGACGCCGCACGTTGCCATCAAATATTTAACTTTCTAACTTGCCGCGTAACTGTATAGCAGACTGCCTCCCCTCGTCTCGCTTCAAATCAAATGATCCGTCTTCGCACATGCGCATTACTAGCACGTGTTCGTAAACAATATTTCGGAAAGAGGATCAGTTATTTAGATTAGTTGGTTTGTAGTTTGGATTCTAACCTTTTTAACTCAGGTAGTGTGCCACAGAGCTCAACGCTTCTTAACAAAATGGGGACAGAAACTAACAAAGATGAACGTAACAATCCGGAATATCTTGCACAGTTACTTAAAGACAAGAAACAAATTCAAGCATTTCCTAATGTTTTTGTTCATTTGGAAAAACTTTTAGATGAAGGTAAGTTTTGAGCGGACAATTCTTCGAAATTCACTAAGTGTGTCTTATTGGACGTAGGTTCAGATGTAAATTAAATGTTTTTTGAAATCTTTAATGTCAGATATATTTTGTAATAATGTCAAAAAGAAACTTTTTGAAGTGAAAATACTTTGTCCGTCAAAACTTTCGTTTTCGGGTCAGACGCGGAATAAGCGGGCACCTGCTAATTAATTGGTTTGTTAATTTGGTTACTTACTCGAATTTAGTTATGCACTGTAATAAAGTAGTTGTGTTGATAACAAAATTGGATTAATGTCACATTTTAAATGGGACAAATTACGTTGCGAGTTTGTTAAAAGTTGTGCTATTTCTGGCAGCCATTTTGGAAGTTGTAATTTTGGCAGTAACTGCTACTTAAAAATAAAGAGTAAGTTCCGCTACCGTTGTTTCTTGTCAAGTGTAAGAGATGTTTCATGCAAGAAAGTTAAATTTACCACCAAATTTTGTGATTGGATACATTGCACTGATAAATTACTGTTAAATACTTATTTTGTAAACATTGGTGTTTACTTTTTGATAACCTGTCAAAGTTTGGAGGTCTCACATAGATATAATGTTTGATGTGTCTATTTCTACCCTGAATTGATTTTTTTTCATTGCTTGACATGACCTGCTTTTAAAGATCAGATCTACACTATATTTTGCTAACATATCCCTGAAAAAGTAACCTACCTTTTTACGAATAATTCTTTAATCTAAAAGTAACAGTAGTGTATTATCTTTGTATTAAAAAGATGTGGTTGTGTTACCATAGCATTTGCTTAGTTCTGCAGTATCATGTACATGTATATCTATTGTATGTAGTGACATTGCACGAAAAGTGGTTGTAGAACAAAAACGCTTTGTTATAAACTGAAACTTTTAACCAATTAAAGAGTATTTCAACCTATTACATTACTAGCGTATCACCATCTTGTACTTAACAATGTATTTCAGATAATAAATAAATACTGCACAGGAAAAAGGAGTGAAGGAGTCACTGTGATAACTTTCAGTTGCACTGTTTGCGCATGCATTATTATAAGAATATCTTATTTATATGGTTCATTATGAGCACAGAAATTTACCTCTGCCCTCATAGATTCAAAATAAAAATTCAAACTTTCAAAGATCAATATTTTAGTTTGCTTTCTTCCAGATTTGTTATTAAGCTAGAAATTCATAAAATGACATGTTTTTTTTCTTTTTTTTTCAAGAAAAGATTTTTTCAGAAATAGATGACATATATTTTTGATAAAAGATATTATGGTTTTTTTTTATATTTTTAAATTGATGGAAGAAATAATATCATATATAATTATTATGCTCTCATGAGCAGAAATAATTTTTTTAGCTTTTAATTCAGACATTTTCTTAGATATATATATATTTATACATGTCTTTTTACTTACATACAAACTTCTGTCATTTGTCAAAGTATTGGTACAATTTGTTAAGATTTCTTGTATGCTGTATAGTTGCATTTTTCTGGCAACAACAGATTGCATTAGCTTTGACTTCACTATTTTAAATTCTAAATTTGTGAAATAAAATTCTTGGTAAGGTCTTTCATAATTAAATATATGGATAAATTATAATGGCTGAAAAGAAAAATATAATGAAGAGATATTGACTAACTGTTAATTAATTGTACCAAAACTTTGCAGGCATTCTTTCGTTCTCTGTGCATAAATTGTGAAAGGGGTGATAATAATTGTAAAAAAATCCCTATTTCACTTTGAATGTGCAGAAATAGATGTTTGTAAGCACATAAACAGTATTGATTGAAATTAATTGAATACTTTACTTAAAATTGAAAACTGTTAAAGGATTTTGTTCTCTTTTATAAAAACTTTGGACATTTTGGATATATATCATTCTAAAATCATATTTTACAATCTGCAATTATATTCTTTGCAAGTCTTTGGTAAAAATTTTTTGCTTTTAGTAAAGATGCAAGATTGCAATTTTGGAATTGATGTTTCCTAAAGTTACATAGAATTGACAGTTTTCAACACTGAAGTACCTTATTTTATACTAATACAGTGGGGTATTCACACTAAAATGCCTATGTATCTCTATGCCTGTTGTATTTTTTGCGTGATTTTTTTGTACTAAATTTCACGATTAAAACAGTGATCCTATCGGAAAAAAATGTGCAAAAAAAAGTTGATAAGAAAATAAAGGGTCGTCAAGACAACAGAAAAATGAACATAAAATTGGCAAGAGTGTCGAAAGGATTACATGTGCATCGGCTTTCTTTGGAGTACAAGGTAAAATCAGTTACTGTTTTGTGCCAGTATAGTTGTCAGTGATAATTGTAATGTTTATATTAAAGGGACACAACCCCCCTCAAATCATTGATATTGTTTAAACTAATCAATTTTAAGAGTTTTGGCAAATACAGACAAAATTATGAAACAGTATCTTTTAAAGTAAGAAAGTGATTGTTAATATTATAGATTTATTTTAAAAATAAAGAATTATACAGTTTTGATAGCAGAAAACTTGTCCCTTTAATTATACATGTTTAATAGTTTATGTAGTAATTTTACTTCAGTTTCAGGGAATATATTAGCATTGATTTATGTAGACATTGTATACAATTTTTGAGATACCATGTACATTTGATAGCCCTTACCCCAGCTGAAACAGAAAGTGGTTTTAAGCCAGAGTTAACAGAGCCCATCCAGTCTGTACATCTGTGTAGCCTAAATTGTATATTTTCCATTAAATTTTCATTTGCATACCTAAAATTAATAATTGACTGTTTCAAAAAATGATTCTGGACATATTTAATTTATATATTTATGCAATTCAATAGGTTAAGGGTTAAGAAATGGCCTGAGTATATAATGAGTGAATATTTTGTGAGTAACCTTTGTTACATTTGTTATATTTTATGTTTTTTTTTCTAAATATAAAACTAAAGCATATTTAATTATAATCTGTCATATCAAAATAGTATTAACCCCATTTTAAGTTCAGCAACTCCAGAAAGCATAGCACTTCATAGATAATAACTAGGTGAGCAATTCTTATATATAAATACTATATCAATAATGTTAGGATGAATAACTTTGTTTTTGTAATGTTTCCCTACGGAAAGTTCGTAGAAACAGTATCAATATCATTGCATTATAAATAACAGTAAGATAATTACAGAAGCAGGTTTTACAAAAAAATTTTCTTGTCATAGATACATTCTGAAAACTAATAAGACCTGGTTTGATTATCTAGGTTCATTTTGACAAAAGCAAAAGTTTGCTTTTGTACAATAATTGATGTGCTGTTTTGAAATTTATATTTTGGATTTGACTCGGCTCGCCGCGTAAAATTTGAGACAGCACTTGCGACGCTCAGCAATTACTCCAATGTAGGTCATTACTATTTTATATGAACATGTGTGTACAGTAGAATATAATACAATTGCATGTGATGAAATTGTAAAGAAAATTGTATTTCCTTGTCTGATGTCAAGTCTGTTTATTTTACCCGTACATATACCCTGGTTCGTATAATTTATATAATGACAAATAAGTGGTCTTTATAAAGCAAACTGTTATTGAATAGTCTGTTTGCCTTTAGTATAACATTTTTTACAAATGGCGAGATTTATACATTCTATACCTGTGGAAATCAGATTGAATTGATACAACTTTCATGTTTTGAAAAGAATGTTTACTTTTTGTAAATATTGAAGTTTTTTCCCAAATTAGGCCAACATTTTTTTATTAAATGTTTTACGGGACATTTAAAAAAAAAATTGGGTCGGGGGGGATAAATAAAAATAAAAATAAAATTCAATTTTTTTATCAGTCGACCACAAAATAAAAATAAAATGATAAAAGAGGTTAAAAATTTTTATTTTCAAACATTTTTTTATGACTCCAAAAACAGATTTTTTGTTCATAAAATCAATGATTTTATAGTTTTGAAGTATTTTTGACATAATTTTAAACAAAATAATTGAAAAAAAATGCTTAAAGTCACTTTTGCTTTTGTTTTTAGTAGCTGCTGATCTAGTTTCTATTAGTTTTGTCTTTTCACATTTAGGGCAAACATGCCACAAAACTCCAAATTCATTGTTTAGTCCCTTCATTTAAAGAGTATCTAAACAAGGTCGTATTACCACTCTCAAGCTTTACTGACACAAGCTTGCAACCAGGTAGAACCACCAACCTATTATAAGCTTACTGATAGTTTCCTCACGGGATCCAAATTAACTTCCTGACAGGATTCTAATCCACAACAGCACACAAGGAGAGTGATTCATTCACAGAGGTACAAACATAATAATGTACAATGTCAGTTTCACAAGGTAAATTGAATCAACAACTTCAAATTATTTTTAAGAGAGTAAGTTCTGTATGTGCAAAAATTTTGCAATTTCTGAAAATTATTCGTATTTCAAATGATTAGTAAAATGAAAGCAATTGACAGTTAAAATAGAAAATCAAATGGCATACATTGTTAAAAAATCAGAGTTTTCTGTTGAGAATTTATTATAGGCAGTTTTTACAGAAATGTCAAAGAGGACTTATGCTCATAATCTTACATTGAAAAAAGACCAATTTTCTCAATATTGATCTAGTAAAAAACTTCTAAAAACACACATAACTACAGTTGTTTAGGCAGTAGCGGATTTTAGGGTATAGCGGATAACATGGCAGTAACAATGCTCCTTTCCATCAAATATGCCTTTTTCAAAATAATACAATTATACCATCAAAAAGAGTGATATATTTGCCATCCGTGGCTAATTTTGTTTTATTTATTTCAAATTGCACAGCCAGTTTTTCTTACATAAATCAGAACGAGGTAACCGGATGTTGTCACCGTCAGACTGTTTATAAGCGCTTCCAAAAGAAATAAACAGAAAACTATTGATCAACACCAAGTAAAGTAATGAAATATTGACATGATTCGGTGTAAAAATCATTTGTTTATAATTTTGCAAAAGCTTTTACAGATATAACACC